TCAAAGTCCCACCGAATGTCAATCACATATCATGTGAATGTCACCCGGAGATGTATGCAAGGCGGCCACACAGCGGGAAGCTGGCAGCGGTAGCAAAGGGAGCCGGGTTTCATGATACCCGACTATGTTGGCTCCACTTCGGGCCGTATGGGAATGGGACACAAGAAGCCCTTGACGAATTGCAGGTTATGGTCCTGGTTATTTGATGTTATTTATATAGGTGCTGCGATTGTTTGGAGCTTCCTATTTGGTTATTGTCTCCCCTTAAACCACCTAGCAACCCCTGCGAACCCCCTATAGCCATGATTACTAACGACTTAGGAGCTCCCCAGACTTTTTCAAGTTGCCAATGTTTGCATGTGCATGGGAGCGAAGGGGAGTGATCATTCAGGGCACTGCCTGAGCACGTGCTATTTTTGTCTACATTGACGTTTCTTTGGCAGAAGATGAACATCACTGAAGATGTGACTAACTGCTTGATGATTGAATGGTCATCAAGAGCCTACATATTTACAGTATACTCTGAGGCCCAGGTATTCGCATCAGATTGGGATTCCTGTTATTGGCGGGTGGGGATGTGTTGCTTGGCTGGATGTGTTCCATTCATGCTAGTTGGTTTGCAGGGTTGATATGCGGTTAGAGACCGCGGACATGTTTCTTGGTGGTTGCTTGGAATTGCTTCGGGGCCCGGGGATTGTAATCACCTAGCAAACTCGCAGAGTATCTTGGGAGGGCTTTCGTTTGAACTCGCGTTATTTTGGTCCAGGGAGCTGCTCGGGGGTCGTTTGCCCAAGGCACTTACTTCGCTGGGCGTGGCAGCCCCAGCGGCATCTTTCTGGGAGACAGCCCCTCCGCCCAAAACAAACGGCAGCATCTTCGAAGGTTGGTCCCTTTTTCCCCCAGAGCACCAACGAATGGCACGGCAGCCCCCAGCATCTGATTCTGTTTGAAGCATTCTACTTTCTCCCACTTCGGATATTCACTCAATCGGGATCCCCTGTAGCTAGTTGAATCCGAAGACAGGGTCCGTCGTGGCTAGCTTTCCAGACTCCATCGAACTGGCTAAGCACCCTTGGAACAGTTACAAGGGTGCTTAGCCAGTTCGAAGGAGTCTGGAAAGCTAGCAACACTATGCTTGTCTCTCAGAGAGGGCCAACGTGTTTGCCAGGTCGGTTCAGTTTGCCGCCCAACCAGGAGCCCTGAGTGCTTCCTACGTTGGACCTCTCGGGGTCTTCCGGCTTCCCCGGAGTAATGTTGGGGCTCGCGAAGTGATTTCGCATCTTGGCCACCCAGGCTTGACAAGTGATGTGCATATCCGAGGGCACAGCCAACAGAAAGACCTTGGACACATCAGACACATCCTCTTCGGTACTTTGGGTCGTCTGGAAGTGCCAAGCTCAGTGCGACAAGGGTCGCTTAGTCGTGTTCAGGCGTAAGACACCCAGTGCCTCGACGGACGGGGGCCTTTCGAAGCAAACATGGCCAGGAGTCTACGTCAGCTCAGGGCAAGGGTTGACGTGAGCTGTTTCTTGGAACTCTTCTCTTCCTTCACGTGGCGATTCCTTGTTTATGGTGCTGTGTGGTCAACTTGCCATAACAAGAACTGTCTTGGTTTGGATCAGAGAAGCGGCATCAACAATGCAAGGGCTGCCGCGCTTGTTGCTCGCAAGTTATACTTCACCGAGATTACCGCGAAGTATTCCAAGCCTGCCGCACTCACATCATGTTCAGCTCAATTATAAGTCCTTCTGCTGCAAGAAGTGCTACAATGAGAACAGCGGCTGCACTTTTGTTTGTCAGAGACTCCTTTGTGTGATATTGTGGCAGCATGTGTCCCTTCAGGGTGCCTTGGCTCAGCCAAGACCAAGAGTCACGTCGATGTGATGAGTCTCGAAAACTAACACGGAAAGCCTGGCGAATGTTTTGAGGTTTTCCGAACGATCCGGTTACCATGTAATTCAGCACACAACACACCATCATCGTTGGCACAGTCTCCTTACGGAGCTGCCCTTCAATGCCATGGCTGCTTCAGTTGCAGCCCGTGTCAGGTCGTAGAGCGGAGGTCCATGCTGACCCTGTCGGCAGGGGCCCAAGGCAGCTGAAATGGCTGTGCCCTTGTCCTTTTTTGAAACTGGAGGAAAGTCCAAGAGAAGCTATGAAATTCCCATTTTTTGGGACAAGCCCAACTGGGGTCCCCAACTGTCAAGGCTCGCAGCACCTTCTTGACCCTTGCTCACCTGAAGTCTGCTGAAGCTTTTTGGAGCGTGTTCGCCTTGCGCGTGCCGGACACGGCACCTGCATTCTCACCCCGGCCGGCTAACGAGCCAATGTAGATGTGGATTCGTGGCCGTTCGAGTGAACAGCTTCTCTGATGCCAGGATTAGCGATCTGCTTAGGTCAGCTTCTGCCATGGGTTTCAGTTCAGTTCTATTCGCTTGCGAGCGCCAGCTATTTGTCCAACAGGACATTTGCTCAGGCAGAGATTCCGTTTACACGGGAAGGACATTCCATTTACACATCCACCGCCAAACGGTTTGTGGGTGTCTGAAGGGTCTTGCAAGATCAAAGTGACACATTCCACTCGCAGGCCCAAGGAATCAAATATGCACTTGTTAAGTCTATGTGTCGAGGCTAGACATCCCCTTGTACAAGTTAATTCGGGCTGCCTGGCGGCCTTCCTTTGCATGGTTTGCAATCTTTCAGACGTCAACGATGTTTGTGTTGGGTCTAACCGACATGTCAATGTGATATTGGACTGGTCGGCTTTTCCCCACTGGAGAAGATGTGGCGCTCCGGCAGTTTTCCTCAACATCGTCGAGCCCAGGAGCGACACGACGAGCCCCGGCTGGCAGTGCAGTCGGTGCAAATGAAGTCGTTGAGGCCTGGTGAGCGAGCTGAGATAGCCGCTCTCAGCCATTTGACGGGTGTGAAGCCGACCATCCCAGACCGTTCTCTGTTTCGTTGGCTCGCAGTTCCTCGACAAACTGACTGACTTGACAAATGCCACGCTCATGAGAGTTTGATGGAATATGTCGGAGATCACTCTTCTGAAATTAACCCTGACACCCGAAACACCCAATACTAGAGGCAACTTGTCGACATCAACCTGTAATTAAGGAAATGCCCAAAGTTGTGACTGCTTGCCGTTCCGGTTTTCGATTCAAGGAGCGCTTCTCAAAAGAAGCTGTTCAACGGGTTTGGAAGTGCCCTTTGAGTGGTTGGGTTACCTTCCAGTGGAAGACAAGCCCAACCCGGAGCAGCTTGATTTCAATGTTTAGGGCCCTCCCTTGCTTGAAGGAAAGTCCAGTTTAGTTAGAAGCTTATGAGAAGCAACTAGCCGGGACTTGTTCCGACGCAGCTTAGCGAATCTTTGAGCCTCAGAGCTCAACGCAATTGCCCGTTTGGGATCTACTCGAGCGTTTGGGATCGATTTAGTCCCGTTTTATCACTTCTTATTTTCGGATTCTGACCAGCGAGTCATGTTGAACGAAACAACATTTCAAGACATCATGATGTGGCTCGTCATATTTTTAGGGGACCCCCAAAATGGTTGGCTTCATGTTGGTTCCCATGAACACCAACCAACAACAACAATAAGTTTAGTTACTTGTTTTGGCCAGTGCACTCAGGAAGTGAGTGATTTCTGTTGGTTTCCGCTTCAAAACCACAAGAAAGGGGGTCCCCTCAAGGGATACCCCCCAAAACACCAGACGCATCCGTCAACCGGTCGGATCGATCCAGGTGCTTTTGGTACTGCCAGGGCTGCGCCTCTCGGCTGAGGTGCCTATCGCATTTGGCTCTAAAAGCGGAGCAGGCGTATGTGGGGGCTGTGTGTCTTTTCAGTACCCTGAAATGGTTGGTCAATGGAAACCGAAGGGGAACATCCCAATTTGGCGGTTCTCCTATTTTGACACATACCCAAATCACATGGGAATCGTCCGAAAGGTGCTTGCATTGAGAATTGAAGGGGATGAGCCTTTTTTCTTAGTGTTGCCCTCCGCGAAAGCTTCGCGATGGAGGTCGAGAAGGTTGTTTTTCTTCTCACGAAAGTTTTGTGTAAGGGTGGTTTGCTAAAAGGAAGCAGCAATGATGAGCCATGTGTATTTGCCGGTAGCGCGCGCAGAATGCACAACATTTGTCGGTAGAAAAGCAATTGGGACGTGAAACTATGCGAAAATAGCCGCGAAAGATCCGCGATGAAGTCCGCGAAAGTGATTCTTGTCCGCGAAGATGGTGTTTCCCGGAACAAGGAGTTTCAGACAACTGCCACATCTATCTATAGCATGTATAGATTTCTATATATATATATATATAATTACATTGTTGCAACAGGATTGCTCCAGAGGGGTACTTGTGTGGATAAACAATGTGGGATGGGTACCAGGGTCCGATCCCAACAAGGGTAGTTGCGCCATGGTTTTGTCTCTATCGGTGGTCAACTTGTTGGCATCGTGCTAAAAAGAAGCAACGTGCGAACCATTGTTCGGGTCTTGCTTTTGGGAATTTCCGCAGTGATGGTCAGCATTTGTTGATAGGGGTCATGCCTGCTTTGTGCCAGCGTCAAGTCCGTACCTTGGAGTAGTGTTCAGGCTTGGCACCTTGCAATCACTGGACGATTTTCAGGATTCCACGAGACGGCGAAATCGGTCCAAGGATACCTCGATGGAATTGATCCACCCCAACTTTGTTGGTCCGGCTAGGTGTTATACTGTGCGAGTATGAGTAACCTCCATGCCATCACCTAGGCACTCTTGCAATCAATAGATTTCTCGCTCCTCCTTCGCAGAAGGAACAATTGCTGCGCCGCACCCCCACTGGGCACGTTGCTTAAACAAGCAACAGTGCGCCGATGTGTTTGGGTCAATGGTCGAACCACAAAGCATTTGGGCTTGTTGCAAATTTGAGGACCCATCTACTGCAGCTGCTTGATGTCCATGGGTTGTTGTTCAACCCCGCTAAACAAGGGTATCCTTTTTAGGACAGCCCGATTTGGATTTGTCTCGACGAAATGAGCTTCGGATTTGGTTTGGCTTGCATCAACACGACCTCAACTACAAACTAAGTGAACCAACTCAACATGTCACAGTATGTGTTTTGCCACCAGGGTAATAAATTCCAATTAAGTAGTGACCCTTTTTATATATAGGACGTCGAAGGAGGAACCACACCCATTTTGTGGACATCAACCGAGTCGATGGACCCGAGGACATGTGGCTGGACATCCGGGAAGCCTCTTACAGCAAGAAGCTCGATAGATCGGCGCCTTTGCTCTTGAATGGTTTGAACCGAAGTGAATTCATCTTGGTTCTTCCCCAGAATTAGCTCCCCGTTTTTGTGTTTGTTTTGTTTGGCTTTTTTGGGGTCCCTTTGTGTTTTTCACTAAGCAGGCAAAAAAGATATATATATATATATATATATTTGCTGGGGTCCTAATTCCAGCCTAGGGTTTTGAACCAAGCTCAGCAAGGGTATCAAGGGTATCAATCTCGACTCACCCACCCCCCATGTTCTGATACAGTGCTTTGGGTTGTTCTTGTTTTCTTAGGTTGTGTTCAGGGAGGCAGCTAAGAGAGAGTGCTGTCCGGGCATGGCCAAAAGCCCACGGTGCGATGGTAAGGGCCGATTGCTAGATCTCCAGTGTCTTTGTCTTGTAGGAGGCTTCGCACAGATCATCTCGAACAATCCCCAATTAATTGGTGGTTTGGATTGGTGGTTTGGGCGTTTGAACCACGGATTCTTGTAAAGGATGAAGGAGAAACAGCTCGTCACCACCAAACCACCGTGAGCGATTATTTCTGGCGATCCCATGTAAACCTCTGATTCAAGCTTAACTCCAGTATTTCATTCAAAGAAGTCACGAAACATATTCTATCTGATTCGATCTCATTCTCTTTTAGTCACAAGGAAATGGTCCCTGGTCCACAATCCCGTGGGTTGCAGGGTAAAACGTTAGGCGTGTTAAAATGGGTTCCTAACCACTCACCTAGACCTGCAACGGGAAAAGAAATTGGCACCCGGCAGGTAGATGATCAGCTTCCCTCTGTTCTCCTTGTCTGTTGTCACAGAGGGTCCGTCCTACAGTGGATGCCCTAAATATTGCCAGCATTGTGCTACTGAAATTAACCTACACGTTGTTTTTGGGATGTAGTTGGTTTACTGCTTGCGATCTTTCGTCAGGGATTCTACAGCTCCCGCAAGAAAAGACCACCTTCAAGGGTTCGAGGCTTAGTACAGCGTGCTGTATTAGGGCAACGTCAGGCCAACCAAATCAGGTTAGATGAGGATTTGCGGGAATCCACCGTATCAGACCCGGGCAAACATTTGACACTTTAGGCTTAGCTCAGACCTTGTTTCCCTTCATTTTCCATGCACGCCTTGTGCAAGCCGGGCCTTGCTCCTGCTTTCTCTGACTTTTTCTGGCCTCATTTGACAATCAAGGCCACCGTGGTAGAAGGAAAACCAGCAGTGACTTTGAACCCCCAACACTCAGAGAATATGGACCCCAGGCCCCAGGCCCCAGGCCCGTAGACCTCCAGGCGCCATCGAACCACCGCTGCTTCCAGACGGACCGGAGCCGGGGCCAAGAGCCCACCACTGCAAAGCCCAAGGTCTTCGAACTGGCGCGGGGGGGCTCCGCGGGTCGCGACGGAAGGGGAAGCGCATTTGGAGATGGGGCGCGCGGCGCGTGTGTTTCGGACCCTTTCCATCGGACAGTCGCAATTGTGGAGTGTCCAACTTTTTTGGTTGGACGCACATGCTGCAATGGGGGAGCATGATTAAACCCATCCCCCCCCTCAAGGGAGGTAGCCTGGCGATGGATGAGTTTGGACCTGGCCAGGCATTTCCTTGCTGGCCAGGACTGCGCTAGGAAAGGAAAGGGCATGTCTGTTTTTTTTTTTTTTTTTTTTCTCCAAGCTGAACAGGGCCAGGATTGATCAGGGGCTTTGTGTTATTCAGGGGGCCGGCCTTGAAGGCGGGGTACACTTTACGAGATTGTCCAACCTTTTCAGCAAACTGTACATGCGAAATTGGCTGTTTCCGGCTAGCCGTTTTTGGAATGCCAACCCTTGATTCTATAAAGGGAGTTTGTATTGGCAAAAGCGTTGGCAATAGCTTCGGTAATTCAATATTTTGTTTTTTGGTATTAGCGTTTTAGTCTTGGGCCGGAAAGGGACTTCTTTAGTCGAGGGGGGGTTTGGGAGGTGCCCTACAAACAACAGAGGAGTCTGTTGTGGGTGCCTAAGTAGTATTGGCCTGCAGTCGGCTGGGAAAACCGGCGTCTTTACTGAGTGGCGGTTTATTACTGATGTGCCGGCATTAGATCTAGAGGCAACTCCTGGTACTCGGCAGGTGAAGGGGGCGGACCTCGGCATCCACTTGAAAGCCGGCTCGCTGGCGCAGAATAGGCTGGCGAGTGTTTGGTCGGTCTTAGTCTTTTCTTGCACCAAGGTCCCATTTTGGGGATTCCATTTCTGGGGTAATTACCATGTTTTGTTTTCAACTTTTTGGGTGCAATTGTTTGACAGCCCAAGTGGGAGGTGACCAATGCGTGAGGAGTCATGTGATAGGCACGTGGGGCCACCATTCTGGCTCAAGTGTAATGTATGTGGTTCTCTCAATTGGACATCACCTGTTTGATGGTTCCTTTGAACCTAACCAAAAAGGCATTGAGGAAGCTGGAGGCGCTGTGTGGTGGGCAACTTGTGACTTTGCTGGGATGTTGATCGTTTGTTTCTTCATTTTCCATTTGCTTAAACAAACATGTTAGTTTCCCCTGTTGGTTTCAAAGGGAATTTATCACTACTGGAAATATATGTGTATATATATATATATATATATTTCCCGAGGGCTACAGCAAATGGAAGTCATGCTGTTCCCTCAACATGTGGTACGTTTTGGAAGTGCCCACAAAGTTTGAGCAACATAGCTCCGATCTGTGGAAATGTGGCCAAACCGGGGACCCAGTTGGAACATGTCGTCTAGATGTCTCCGCACCAAAAGGAGTGCCATCCAGATATGTGTCAAAATAAGGCAACCCTAAAACTGCGGTGTGCCTTTTGGCTTCGCTTTAAAGCCACGCTCAAAACGGGTGTCGACAAACACGCACCTGAATGCCCAGCCAGGAACTTGCTGGAGCTGGCCTGCCCCATGGCATCACTGCTGAAGGCCGCGTGCCCGCGCGCTGGCTGAAAAACGTGCGCGGGGGGTCATGCGACCTAGCCCTTGTCGGATGGTGTTACAGGGAAACCACCCACCCTTTTTTTCTGGTGGCTCCCAGCCTCCCAGCCATCCGGTTCCTCAGCTTTTCAGATTTAGCGGGGGTTTCCGTTTAACCCATAAAGTCAAACTTTTAGCAGGGGATCTGAGGGCAGCCTAAGACAAACCCACGTCTTGCTTTGTCTGTGTATGCGGTGTCCAAGCTTCCCGTGATACTAGAACTGCTGCTGGTGTGAATACGACTACTACTGCTACTACTTCTTCTACTACTACTAATACTACTACTACTACTACTACTACTACTACTACTACTACTACTACTACTACTACTACTACTACTACTTCTACTTCTACTTCTACTTCTACTTCTACTTCTACTTCTACTTCTACTTCTACTTCTACTTCTACTTCTACTTCTACTTCTACTGCTGTGAGTACGACTACTGCTATTACTACTGCTACTACTACAACTACTACTTCTACTACTTCTACTACTACTACTTCTTCTACTACTACTACTACTACTTCTACTTCTACTACTACTACTACTACCACTACTACTACTGTTACTACTACGAGTACTACTGCTATTACAACTGCTGCTGCTACTACTACTACTACTACTACTACTACTACTACTACTACTACTACTACTACTACTACTACTACTACTAGTACCAGTCGTTGGCTCTCGGACCCTTTTGCCTGTAGCGGGCTGTAGTGGTGGATCAAATGCGACAATCGACGGACAAACGACCCCAGCTATGATTATGAATCACTGCTATACGTCCGACAGCCATTCTAAATGTCCTTGTTTGCAGAAATGCTAAATACCTGTGGCGTTGTTTGTGGTTTTTGCATGTTGACCGGGTGAGAGGCGACTTTCAAAAAACAGACGTGAAACTCGGACAAAACCAAATCAGAACCAGTAGCGTGAAATCAAGACATTTGGCACGCACCATGTTCAAAACAGGAGCGCGCATCTCGGAAAACACACGACGGTTTCCGGATGGTCAGGAGGGTTGGCAGGGTCAGGATGGTCGGGACAGTCCAGAGTGTTGGTTTGGTCAGGTTGGGTTATGGTTTGTTTTAGGGTGGGTTTGGCGTGGTTCAGGATGAGTTTAGGGTTGGTTGAGGGTTGGTTTAGGGTGGATTCAGCGTTGGTTTAGAGTTGGTTTAGAGCCGGTTTAGGGTGGGTTCAGGGTTGGTTTGGGGTGGTTCAGGCCTGGTTTGGGGTTGTGGGTTCAGGGTTGATTTTGGGTGGCTCTAAGATCCAGTGTTGGTCCAGGTTGGGTTGGGGTCTGTTTGGGGTGGCTTCAAGGCTGGTTTAGGCAGGGTTTGGGGTGGGGTATGGGTTGGTTTGGTTTGGTCCTGGGTTGGCTTAGGATGGCTTTGAGAATGGTTTAGGGTTGGTTCAGGGTGGCTTCAAGGTTGGTTGGTACCGCCGGGATGGTTGGACTGTCGGGATGGTCAGGATTGTTGGCATGCTGGGGACGGGCGGGGCTGGCATTGTCCAGTTTTGTGAGGTGCGCAACGCGGGGACGTAGATGTGATTGCTGGTCGGGACGGTCGGGATGGAATGGTCAGGACAGTTGGGATGCTCTGCTGGCAAACGACGGCCGCAGCAATGTGGGCTGTCGGCCGAATGTCGGCCGAATTTCACACTTGTTTTGACCCAATTTCACACATGTGGGGGCCGAACGTCGGCCGACACTGTCGGCCGACCGTGTCGGCTGAATTTCACATCAATCGGATCGGATCAACTCTGGGCATGATGTGAAGATTAATTACTTCGCCTGGAAAACTGGAAAACCATGTCAGCAAGTGAAACTTTGCCATGCCATTATTTTGCTGGGCTGGCAATGTTTGTTGCCATTAGTGAGTTGCCCCACTTGCAACATTCACGCACTGCGACAGAAGGGGAGCAACAATGACACACACAGACACATCCTTGGTTGTTATCCTTACCGTCTCTTGCTTCTGTCAAACTCAGCATTGGATTCATTGGTAGTTATTTAACTATTTGTATTGTGAATTGGATGAATGTATGCATGGTGAACATACACATACAGTGATATTCATGAGCTTGGAAGTGCCCAATTTTCAGATTACCCTTCTTCCACCATTCATGGAAGAGGACGACAACTGTTTTACTGATGGTGTGCTCTTCTGACTCTTCTAGATCCATCTTGTCAGTTTTGATGAAAGGGGCGTCTGTGTTCACTTGGGTGTGTGCTTTTGATACGGTGACCTGTTGAGGTTGGTTCAAATGGGCAAAAAACCGGAACGCCACCATCTTAAGACGTTCCCGTATTTGACAACTTAACTCGTTGCCCCTAATTGGTGTGTTGTTTGTTTTTTGTGGACAATTATACTGCACGTGTGTCTTGTTGGTTGGATGGAAGCCAAGAGGAAAACCACCCTTTTGGCGGGTCCCCTTTTTTAAGGATAATGATTTGTTTGTTGTCTGACAAACCAGTTTGTTCTTGGGATTTCTTGATTGTTGAAAGGGCAACCAAACAAACAAAGCAACTTGGCGGGTGCCCCCCCCACAACAACTTTGCGGGTCCTCCCCCCCCCCCCGCGCCCCTCCCCCCGCGAAAAAACAAGGAGTGGACACCCCCGAAAAACCCAGCCAGGTGTTGGAATACGCTGCCGGAGTGCCGTGCCAGAGCCGCAAGGTTGGGGGTTTACACCCGGAAACCCAGTGTCAGCTTCCCTCTGATTGGGTGGCTCGCCTTTTGAGGTACCCCTGGTTTGGCTGTTTTTAAAGGGATAGCACAAGGAAAACCACAGCGCGCTTTGGGGTGTGATTCGCTAAAAAGGACCTACCCAATTGGTGGTGTGGATGGTTTGGTGGTGTTCTGGAGTGGTTTCCCATCTACCCTCTACAAACACCAAAGGTTCATATCCCCAAATCAATCCAAGCCACAAATGAAGGGTTATTGTAAATGCTTCGCGTCGCCCGCTGTTTGAGTGTGAGCTGGTTCCCAAGATAGATGGCGGGCTGGGCTTTCGAGGAGCAATTTGGTTGGGGCAATTTGACCGATTTCTAAGGGACTCTGTCCGATTTCTCGACCGGTTTCTAGGGCAGATTTGCAGGTTTCTTGGGGGAAGTTCGGTTTCAACAACTGGATCGTGCGCCGGCAGGTCTTCGTGCGAGTAGCAAGTGCTGAGCAGAACGACGACGAGGCGCTGAGTGAGACAGGGTTGGACCCCCGAAAGGGCAGGACGGTCGTTCCTCGCTTCCCGAGTTGCATTTGGACCATGTGAGTGTTGGTCATGGGTGGTCAATATGTTTAGGGGACCCCGAAAAGGTTGGCTTCATGTTGGTTTCCCATGAACAGCAACCAAAAACAACAATAAGTTTGGGTATTTCTTTTGGCCAGTGCACTCAGGAAGTGAGTGATTCCTAAAACTACAAGAAAGACCGTCCCAAATGGACCAAAGTATGAGGTTCCATGGCTCGACGTCCGGCTTCAAATTGGAAACACTGAGGTCTAACTGAGGCTTCAAATTAAAGCCATGGTTAGCTCAGCGGGATATGTCAGCAGGCTGGGGACTCACTTTTGTTTCGGCCTTCAGGAAGGCTCGCGGGGGGGGTGCCGACCTTGGCGTTGCTTTCTCAAGGTGGAAGTTGTCTTGCAGCTTTGGTTGGGTGTTGTTTTGTGTTCAGGTGTGTTGTCCGCATTTAGCTCGAACATTCAGCTCGAAGACGGAACAGCACAAAGGTGGCGTAAGAGCAAGATAGTGGACATGAATTGAACATTGCATCGCCATGGCTTTGGCTGACCGCTTGCAGTGCCAGGATGTGACAACTCAGCCACAACTTAAGCACAAACATGCATTGCCAGTCTATATTGGTTTTAGCGACTGTCGACTGTGTGATAAGTGATGGTCATGTTCTAAACCTTGTGTTTGCGGTATACGTGATGTGCTGGCTACAACTACAGCAGGCAAGATTCCATTTTTTAGTGTTGCTGCTGCATTTTTGTTCTGAGGTCTCAGCTATCAATCTTGTTCGGTTTGTCTGAGCGAAGTATGACGTGTGAAGCAGAATGTAGATAAACTGGAAGACTGGGACAAACGGAAAAGACATTGTATCAGGTAACCCTTGCTCGGTGGTTTGGATTGGTGGGGAGTGATCCCCTTCCCTTTGTGCAGGGTAAATGGGAAACCACCCCGTGACCAGTAGACCACCAATCCAAACCACCAATTGGGGGGAAGCTTGCATGCTTCTCGGAAATAGAATCCAGACTTAGAGGTCAGGCGGACTGGCCGCA